CTGAGTTTAAGACTGACCTTCGATATATCTCAACATATCTATGAACAGACCACAAGAATATTATATTAACGTGTGATACCCACTTTATGACACTGATATAACATATGATTTATAAAATGAAGTATAATAAACACGAGATATCAGAATGAAACAATACAGTAAAATATCTATCCATCAAATAAAAACTAATTTGTCAAACTGACTTAAATAAATAGAAAATACGTGTTTAATTCGCTATCGTAACTCAAATATAAAACATAAAACATGTTCAGATAAGTTCAGAAAGACTCTTTCCCAGACACATAATCAACAACAGACCAAATGAGAACAACCCTTTTATATGTGACAAAACCACATTTTGTTGTCTATGTTGCTTGTTTAACTTATCTTGACACATTTTATGTTTTATATTTAAGTTACATCAATACATTTTATACATATTTTCCATTTGTTTAGGTCTGTTTTATATTAGTTTTCACTTTGGCAAACCTGAGAAATAAATAAATACTTTATTTCATTTGATATATTATGTATTGCTTTCAGGTAATAAACATAGATGTATGACACATTAATGTAATGTTCTTTTGGTGTGTGAAGAAGTGATGACTTGAGATAATAATAATGGAAAGAAAATCTCAAACTAAGGAGAAGACTTGGTCAATGTTCCACTTTTCCTCCATAAATAGTGTGTTTGTTCCTTTGACTCTCGCTTACGGCCATACCAGCCTGAATACGCCCGATCTCGTCTGATCTCGGAAGCTAAGCAGGGTTGGGCCTGGTCAGTACTTGGATGGGAGACCGCCTGGGAATACCAGGTGCTGTAAGCTTTTTCTCACACAAAACACACCATGATGCTGCTGCTGCTTTACTTTGAGGCAGAGCTGGAAAAGACAAGACAACTTTATTAATAAATATCATTTAAAACAACAAGAGTTAAACCAAAGTGTTGCTCAATCAAAATAGAAAACAATAAAACACAACCAGTCACTACAATCAGTCACGTTAATTTGTACAATAAAGAATATTGTAGGGTAATCATCTTAATATCTCATTCATTCAGGCAAAATTGTATTTTTTAGAATATTGAAGAGTCCTAACTGTAATATTATAAATTGCTCAGATACATTTGTATTTTATATTATACTGTAGGGTCTTAACCTTAATATTTAAACTCATTAGTTCAGTCTCGACAGTCTTTTGCTTATTGAAAAGTAGTTTTTCTCAACTTCTGTTGTTTTAAACGTGCTATAGAAAAACAAACAATGACTCTACTTCACTAGTATTTTCTGTTATTAGTCAATTGTTTGTCTATCACATGTAATTCACTGTTTGAAGAGAACTGGATGTCAGTGTGGCTAACTCAGATTATAGGCTGTAAGTAAGTGACCAGGACAGACAAACACCCAGAAGGGCCTAAAATGACCCTTTACAGACATTTATAAAGGCTGTATGTTTAGAGTTTGTAAAAAAGAAAAGAAGAAAAAAAAAAAAACTCCATCCCTGTAGTGCTTTAGTGGCTCTTTGAGTGAAGTTTGATTTCAAATATGGAGAATAATTGACCTAAATTATAAACAGCTTGTACAAACTGTGACATACCAATATAATTTGGTCCATTTTCAAATGTTTCTTATGTCTATAATTCAGTGTACACTTTATCTCAATTCTCCAAAGTGACATTTCATGACGTTATCATAATTTTGACACTTTTGTGTAATAAATTCAGCATCGTTTCTGTTGTGTAACACACAGGAAGCTCTCAGGACTAATCTAACAGCCCACAGAACAGTAAACTAAGTGAGCAGGAGACCAAAGCTGCTCGTCCAGCTGGTATGTGGTTTAATTCATGAACAGAAACGTTATTGTTTGCAGGTCAGAAATTTGAGGACTCTCCTCGGACCTGCCTGGTTGAACAGAAATGTTGCATTACCTCATCTGGTCTGTTGATGGCGCTAAAGCAGCACTATTTAAAATGATGCTTTCAGGTGCAGCTCGAAAAAAAATCACCAGTCGCACACTATCCACAATGCATGGTGCTACATCATGTGGAAGAGTTTAGGATGTGTTTTTATTATTATTATTATTATTATTATTATTATTATTATTATTGCTGGGAAAGAATACTAGAGAAACTCATCTGTTGGTTCTGGTCCTTACACATGATTTTTTGAACTACAACAATAAAAATACCTCAAAATTGCTATTTGTTTTACATGACATAATCAGATTTAATGAGTCAAATTTCTGACATATAAAAGTCAAAATTGTTGAATAGTTCTTTATAGTTTTGACTAATAAAGTCATTAAACAAATCCATGTCTTAACATATCATAGTTTAGATTTGCTATTCAAAAACATGAGTTAGAAAATCAAAAGTTTGAGTTTGAGACTGAAACATTTGACCAAAGTTAACGGAATTTTTCAATCACAGGCCAACATTTTGGACTTCGTAGCTCCTTAAAATTATGTAGAAATAAATAATTGATCCAGTGGTACAAAACAGAAACATACACATTACACGTGTTAATGTGGTTTACACCATGACCTGTCATTAAAGGCTCTGATAACAAACAGAAATTAGTTTTCTCAATATAGCACGTTCTTTCAGCCTCAAATTGAAAGTTGAAAATAGGAACGTGTGCAGTTTAAAACATAATTGTGATAATAAATGAAGTGTTATGAGGAACTAAATGAATTCTCCCTCTTATATTTATTCACTGCTGTATGTTATACATATGCAGATGGTTAAATATCACTGGAGGTGCCAACTGTTTTTACTGAGCTTGGAAAATCTAGCTTTACCTGCAGCCTGGAATAACATAAGGAAAGCTATAAAGCTCATGTTTAACCTTCGAGCATTTCACATTTTTAATTTAATCGTATTTTGCTTCCAAGTGTTCTTGTTGATTCATTTGTTTATAAATTTTAAAAGCTGTAATTAAAGTTTTTATTAATTTACTAACTTTGCCTTCTGGCATTTTTTTTATGAGCATTGTGTTCAAGTTTCCTTTTTGTTTGCTTACATCTTTTATATTCTTACTCATCTATATTGCAAATGAGGCATCCAGATCTATATGTATTCTGAATTTAAAGACTGAATTATTCAACATCCTCAGGATGCACACGTGCCAGATGTTTACTGCCTTTGAGCTAACATTGTGAGCAGCAATTAAAGAGCGCTGACTTTTAAAAAAAACTGGTTTTCATGCTGTGTATCTTTATGTTGGAAAAAAAAAACGCAATAAAAAAATGACGAGGCTATTTTAGGTATTTTAACATGTTTCAAACAGAAATTAGAACTTTCCCCCCTAAGGATTGCTGCTTTAGAACAAAGAAAATTGTCATCCTCATAACTGACTTTGTCAGAAAATCTGACTTTGAGGACTTTAAATGTAAATCAGTCCTCAAGGCTTAAATTAACGAGCAATTAAAGTAAGCTAAGTTAAGCTATTTTATATGATAGTCGTTAAAAAAAACTATCACCATTTTAATTGACTTTATGTCTTATGTTCTTGTTTTAGGACAATAGCATTTCTTAAGAGTTCACAAGAGAAAAATGTACACGGTTAGATGAAGACTTTAGGATCATTTGTGTAAAATATGAAGCATAAAAAAGTATTCTCAGAAATCAGAAACATGGAGTAGAACATAATGCAGCAGAAGCTAGAAATACTTACAGCAAGCCAAAGTTTCTCTCCACTTTCCACTACTGCCTCATGCTGATTTACTCAGTCTGTGCGCCACACTTTCAGTATTCAGATTTCCGACAGCCCCTGAATGCAGCATGTCAGAGCGCAGCTGACGCAGAGCAGCAGTCAGTCAGTGAGTGAGTCGCCTGTTGCTCCAACAGTTCAAACCTCTGAGGTCATGTGTGGAGTCAGACACATTCAGACCATCTCACCGTGTTTCCCAACGCGCCTTTTTTTTTACTGGTTTTACTGGGACTGTGGAACAATGCAGCTGAGTGCTGCGCAGCCGAACCTCTGACATGGAGAAAAGCTTCACAGAAGATGACTGCGTGGACTCAGGAGCCGAGACTGGAGGGTGAGTGCTGCGCAAATTATAGAGTCACATCCCAAATATGTCTCCAAATGTTTTCTCACTACGGAGTTTATGAGTTTCTGACTTCTTGTTGGGACTTTTAAATCCCCCGCCCCCTCTCCAGTGTAGCATAAGACACTGTAAAGTTAAAAATACTTGACTGGGGAGGTTTGATTTAACTTTATTGTGAAAACCCCACATCAGATGCAAGTTGTTAATCCAGGTAAAGTCCGCTACATGTGTGTAACGGCGCACTGACCTAAATAAGTGATTTTTCTAAATTAACAGCGAGAAATATTGCTGTTCTTTATCAGATCAGCAACTCAGCTGATGAAATTTGATTCAGTCCATCTCAACTCAAGGTACCTGAACGCACCTAGAACCCCATTACATAAAGCAAGACAATCTCCACTTCTCATGTATTTAGACTCACATTCATACCAAAGCCATGAAATATGTAGTGTTTGGGAATTTTCAGCTGCTCCTGATTTGCCTCCTTGTGCCAATAATTGATGTAATGTCTGTTGAGGACAAATGCAGGAGCTGAAATCCTGCTTGTTTAGTGGAAAGTAAAGTCTTACTCATCTCATTTTTCTTTCCTTTGACTGTGAATAGAGTGAAATGAACCTTTATCACTTTGTTTCAGCCACTAAACAAAGATGTGCCTCGCTTTCTCCAGCGGTACGTCACTGTTGGATGTTGTAGTAGTGAATGTTTGTGTGTGTCAGAGACATTAAAGGGTAGTTCATGTTTTTTGTTTTTTTAGAGTTAATTTCGAACAATACAGACATGCTCATATGTGCAAATCATACGGCTGTGGGTGTAGATTTCTTCTGAAGACTGATGGCGTCCCTCATCAGGATATTTTAAGCATCAAACAGTTCATTTTCTGCATTCTGGTGAATCTTTATGGACAAATTGTGCCTTTTCTGCATCAATTTATGGTGAAAATGCTGTCATTTATCGGCAGAAAAACACAAAATAAGCAAACCATGTAGCAGATTTTTTAAAATAAAGGTTTTTATCAGAGGCACAGTGCTCTCAATATTTATCAGGTTGCATCCTTCCTGAAATCTACACCCATGCAAACAGGTTTCTTCCAAAGGTACATACTTTTTAGAATTAAATTCTGCCTTTGTGCTTGCATAGATCATGTCTGGCTGCATCAGAGGTGTTTTTTTAGTAATATATGTGTAACTCTGGGCCCTCTGGATCTGTCTAACTCCTAAAACTGCAAAAAGGCTTTGTTTGACACAAAAGAAAGACTGTGTCGATCAATAAAGTGACAATCTTGGAGGTTTTTTATTGAAGCAAATGTCTGTTAAGTCACTATCTGTTGCAAAATGAGGTTACACAACAGAGACAGAGCCCGTGGGCCGCTGGTGAGCTTATGAAAGTCCTTGCCTTTAGAGTATTACAAACTGGCTTTCTGTGGGGACATTCCTGCACAAAATCCCAAGCTGAGGTAGTGAATCGTGTTCCATCACCCAGCAGGTGTGTTTCTGCCAGGGAGGGGAGGCGGAGCGAACGCAACAGACTCACCTGTGTCTGAAGCTGCATTATGTTATGAACCACACAGGTGGCACTGCTTTAAGAGCACAAATGCAGTTAGAAAGAAAACTGAGGTCTTCAATATTGCCACTTTAAAATTGCCTCAAGAAGTAGTGTCCAGTATGAACAGGAGGAATGAAAACAGGCTCTTTTGATGTGCATATGGACACATGAGTGTTAAATTGAGGTAAATTTGGAGAAAAAAAAAGTGACCTTTAACCCTCTTTAGAAAATTCAGAACTAAGGACGTGTGTTGTTGTGATCAGCCACAAGGCAGGCATTAATTTAAATCAGTTTTTATTGTCTCGTGTCTGATTTCATGTCAAGAATATTGTCTATATGTACATTTTAGGCAATTTCTGTTGGTTTTCCCAGATGTCTAATCTCCTTGAAGGATCACTATGGAATAATAAAAACAAGTCCTAAAGTCTAAATGACCTCAGATCTGTCGTAGCGGGTTATTATATTGTATATTTGTGGGGTTTTTTTTGTAAATTATCAGACTTATTTTCCAGGGACAACAAATCAAAAACAAAAATAACATATTTGATCCTGTGGTACCAACTCAAGCTTATTATTTAACTGTTTACTCATGAGTATTTGAGTGAATGTCGTAATAAACAGTATCAAGAACTGCTCTGTTAATTTGATGATACTGGAACACTGGAACCCTGACTTCAGCCCAAAATGAACCTTGGCAGGCAGATAAGATGAAAGTATCACATATAAATATAGATGCCTTGTTTTATATGTAGACTAATGTTGTTTTCTTGCTTAGCTCAGTGAAAACTTTATGTCTGCACCTGCCTGTGAGTCACCACAATAAAAGCACAGTAATATATTAATTCCACCAGAGGAAAGACTTTGTTTTCTGCAGATAGGTGGAAAAAAATGTAATGAAATCAGCAGAAATCCAGCATCGTAAATCTCCATAAATGTATTGTGTCTCCCAGCCTTTTAGTTTCCTTTTGACATTTTTCAAGCCTGAAACGGTACATTGAGCAGTTTTGAGCATCTGTAATTCTGATGCTGTGTAAATTGTTGTCTTATCAACAGCAGTGCTCATTAATTGACATGTTTAAAATATTAATGTGCCAGATTGCAGCCAAAAAGCTTAAAGTCAATCAGAAAGTTGATGTTAAGATTAAAAAAAACTTGAAAACAACAAAAGGCACACATGTATATACGAACATTACTAAAGTAGCATTCTCATAAAACATGACAGAATAGACTAGCTTATACAGTATACATACTACATAGGACTCTGATGCTGAAAGCTTGAGAGGTGGGAACAGAAACCAGACATCAGTGCATCAATGGCCTTGTTGTCAGAGGCACCTGGGAGCGTGCTACTGCTTATTAGCCGTGAACTGGAACCAAACATCAGAATGTTTGTGAGACAGCATCTGTTTCATGGAGAGAGAAGCAGCACTGACCCCTGTGGAAAGTGCTGATGTGAAAGGAAAAGCAAGGGACGTCCAGCTGATAACCAGAGAGCTTCCACCTCCACTTCTGGCTACATCCACTGTAGTCCTCCTTCACCTCACACTGTCTCTGCCTGCATCAGTCCTGCAGCCACAAATCCCTGCATTCACAGTGACTTTACTGTAAAAAGGATTATTCTAGTGTTTCTAGAGTTTCTTTTTTTGTGTGTGGGCTACATCAAAGTTAACCGACGTATCTTTCTGAACAAGCCGACTGAAATTATTCAGACAATAATTCCTTGTTGGCCGTAAAGTCCACTTTAAGCATCCCATTTCATTTTCAAAGCTTCCTTGCAAGAAAATCTCAAAGGTTTAAAAAGTTGTTCCTGTGATATTTAGCGTACTGCTTTGGCAAAGATGATCAGTACATTTATCACCAACACTTTAGTTGTTCATTTATATCAGCTATCAGTTCTGTTTCATGGAGCAAAGTAGACTCACTATAGTGAATGTATAATTGCCATTTTGTTCAAGCTTTTTCTTATTTAAAAAAAGAAAATGATTGATTTATCAGAAGTCAAAATAGGTCAAAAGAGGCAGTTTCTAAGTTTTCTTAACACTGACCTGTCCTAGTCTGAATGCCATTAGACAAAACCAGAAAGACTGAAACATTCTTTGCATGTTAAAAGTTAAAAGCAACCTGTAGGAATCAAAAACTGTACATCAGGTAGAGCTGCAACACTTAATCAGCTATTGATTATTTGTCAGCTATTTTGATAATTGATTAAACAAAGCAGAGCTAGAAGAGGAATGCATACTGTAGAGTTGACTGATACGGATGATTTGTTATTTGTTTAGGTTCTTTTTTCGATGGTTCCAGCTTCTCAAATGAGAGAATTTGCTGCGTTTTCTTGTCTAACATTATAGTAAGTTCAATATACTTTGGGATTGGACTGTTTTTCAGAAAAAATGCTAAACTATGGTGAGCATTTTAAACACTTTTCTGTTCATATGTATAACTGAGAAAAACAACTTTTAGATTAATCTATAATGAGAATAATCTTGTTTGTATAACTACATAACTTAATTGTGAAGTTTTCCTCCATAACAACTTGTCAATTGAGATAATTTCGGTCAGTTTGGTGTTTTCTGCTTGTTCTTATGCTCCACGTAGCAAAAAAGGTAATTAAATCAGTTGATTACTGCAGCGGTGCAAGTGTTTGTGTGAATAATGGTGATATTGTTAGAGTCTCATGGAAAATGGAGGATGTCGGGATGAAAGCTGTTCATAAAACAGGAAATCTGACTTTCCATCTACATTCAGTTGTCATGGTTTCTTTAAAACCGTAAAAAACGATTCTTCCTGAACATAAAAAGAGCCTGACTGCAGAGGTGACAGGCCATGAAATGATCATATGATTCACTGGTGGGAGGATTTATCGCTTTACGTTCAGTTGCTTTCTGTCTTCGTCTTCACCCTTTCACCTCCGTCTCCCTGCATCCCTAATCGAGCGCCTGAATCTGGAGGTCAAACAAGCCATTTAGACTCACTTGACTGTCCATCAGGTCAGTCTGCAGTCAAACCGTGTGTGCACGATCGAGCTGCTGCCTGTCTTCGCTTCACTGTGCGTTTATTGTCTTTGGACGGGGATGAAGCGAGGCATCGCGGCCAGACTGGGAACGGCAGGCGAGATGCTAACTGACACTGCTCGGGGAGTCCTGCCAAATTCTCACACCCAAGGGAGCCTTTAAACAGACTCGCAACTGCGCTCACTACTACCTCCAACTCTACTCTGCCGTGTCATAAAAAGAAAGCTTTCCTCGTCTTTCTTCCCACTTCTTTTTGGTCATTTTCCTCTTTTGCACACAGGGACGAGTCTCATGACTTTCACTCTGTGTCCTTTTTGCTGGAACCTTCCGGTCGTTTATAATCTCTTCTCTGTATATTTGTCTTTTCTTTCGCTCCCTATGCCGGCATTCTCCCCTGTAGTGCCCCATCATTTTTACTTCTTACCCTCCTGTCCTCACCTCTACTTCTACCCTCGCTCCCATCCATCCCGTTCTCTGCACCGCTAATGCCCGTTAGTTAGATTGATAACCTCCTGCTGCAGGAAATAGCCCTGCTCCTCTGTTTCCTGCAGCTCCAGAGGCCTTATTAGTTTAGAGATGGACTCACAGGGAGGGAGTGTGTTGCAGGAACAGCGTTCTCTGGTTGTCAGCTGACTCCCGTGGGACTAATATTCTCAGGTTGTGATTTATACACGTGAGTCGAGGTTTTCGGGGAAATGTAACGTGTAGGATTCAGCTCCTCAGTCGGGCTTGTATGTGGGCATACGTGTGTCTTTTATGTGAAATGACATAATTACATAGAAGGTCAGGAATAATCTATGGAGATCAGATTAGCGGAAATCTAATTCTGCTTCCCTTCCAGCTCAAAGATGGGAGCTTTAGATTAGTCTGCATAAGAATGAGTCCCCAGAGGGAAAAGAAGCAGGATCCTTTACTTCAACTACTGCATCAACACTTAACATTATTGTCTTTCTTGCAACAAGTTTGATGAAAAGACTGGCATGTTTCACCTTTAGCACCACTGTCATGTGCGGTATGTTACTTAGTTAGCCTCTACACAAACACAGATGTAACTATGGCTTGTTCTTATTTGCCTAAAACTGTAGAAGAATCGCCACAAAATAAAATAAATGACCAATTATTACATGTATGTTTGTGTGCATATTAAAGAAAGGTGTACATTTGTGTATTTTTTCCCTTTTGTGGCAATCTCTGGTGCTGGAAACACTGAAAACTGAAAAGCCAGTCAATCCCCATAGACCCCCATGTTAAAATACTTAATTTAAAGCAGAAATAAATGTTTCCAGCCTGATATAAAGACAGTTTTGGTCTCTATAGCTTATTCATGACAACCGTACAAGGGTTGAATTTATATAGAACTCACCTGTTCAAGTTATATTAACGGTAAAAGTTATGCATAGAGAAAGTTGTGACTGATTTATGTGTCAGCTTGATGCCCTCGTAGGACAGTCAATAGCCCAGAGACTTTGGGACGGCATGCCTCAACTCCACTCATGCTCAGTTTCTTTCCTCATTTATGGATTAGCCAGATTTAAGAGGAGTCTGCCAAGATGGCGGTGGCCACCACACTGAGCTCCAAATTCAGTCTTTAGGAAACCTGTGGTGATGTGATTGAGACTTTGTCTGTTTTTATACACAGTCTAAGCTTTGAATAGAGCCAGTCACACTGTTTTTCTTAATTCCAGTCTTCATGCTAAGCTAGTCTAATCACTCCCTGTCTACAGCTCCATACTTCTGCTGCACACAGCATCTGAATGGGGAAATAAAACCCAGTCTTGGCCCGTGTTTGAGCATTATTTCACGATGTTTACTTTCACCAGCCTTGTAGTTGCATAATTTAAATACCATAAGTTGTCTGTTTTTGGACTATTTTCCACTTTGGAGCTGCTCGTTAGGAAACCAAACCAACTATGTGTGTTTTCTGTTCAAGTAGGCAAATCAATTATATGCTTGTCAATACTGGATTTTATTTGGACCTAACTGTCAGTGACTGTGGGATGCTTCCAGCTCTCTTGTGTAGCTCGAGACTCACAATTCTCAGAAATTTCCAATATGTTCTACTCAGAATTACAACAAAGAGGCAGATGTGAAGATTTCTTTTTTTTTTTCCAGCTCAGTTGCTTGTAATTACAGTCCAATTGATATGACTCGAGGGCAGCGTTACCGCACTTGACTTGTGCAGTCAGGACTGATACCAATCTTCTCATCTAACTCTTGGAAACAGCACAAATAATGGTGAATTGTTCCTGTAATTAAGTAATACTGGTGCAGTAATCCATTGCAAATGGACATCCTGCATTCTTAAAATACTTTTTTTTTTTGTCATAACACTTCTGGACTTTTATGAGAAAAGTAGTAATTATTACAGTTTTTCCAGCTTGTCACATCCTATCATGTATTATGTTGCTGGATTGTTAATACTGGAGCATTTTAATGACTGTGTAATGGTTGTGGCCAGATGAGATCATTTTATCCATCATTTTTATTTCATCTGCAAATTAACTTTAGTGACACAGCTGTGGAATATATGTTAGATTTGCCTTTGAAATATAGTGTCATGTAGTAGAAATATGAAGTAGCAGAGGGTAGAAATACCTGAAAGCTCTACTTGAGCACAGATAGCGTTGGTGAATGTCCCCGTGTTTTATCCCGTCAGAGAGAAACCGCTCTGAAATGTCTGTGTGCATTTTTGGTGACCTTTCCAGCTGGACGTCTCCTACTGTTTAGCCAGATGTCAGCACTTTATTTGAAATAGGAGTGTGTCATCCTGTAAATCATGTAGATTGCACTTTGTACTGTAACATAAACTCCTGTCTCCTCTCTCTGTTTCTTGTCCTCTCCGTCTCTCTCCCCCTGCGTTCCATGTCCACATCGCCCCTCTCAATCTTTTTCTCTATTTTCTGTCGTCCTCTGCAGGTCTGATTACAGTCCCTTGTCCTCAACGAGCAGTAAGTAACAGCATTTCTAACACTAACACAGCTCAGGTCCAAGGCTTTATCTCTCTAATGCACGCTGACAAAATAAATCCACTCGCTGGGGAGGATTGTTTGTGTGCGTTTAGTGGTTTGTAAGACCTACAGCAGTGTTGGCAAAAGCAAGCTGCTTGATTGAATTTGTTCTTCTATACATTTACTGTGACGGCACATGCTGGACAAACAACATTTTGCACATTGGGTTTAGTAAATAGTTGGACATTCGCATCAATGGGGCAACTACAAGGGAAATTAAGGTTTTAAAAAAATTAAAGCTTTTCTAAGAAATTCAACTTAGTTTTCTGAAATTAAAACAAAACTAAATTTTTTTCTCCTTGTAAAGTATGTATCGGCACTAAGTTTCACACGTAGACAGTCCCTTGACATAAACAGAGCAACCATTTGTCAAGAAAATATGGTGAAAACACACAGCTGCCACAAAAACAAAACACCCATTTAGTACTTGTTTACTGATGACAAAAATAGTCAGTTTTAACCAGATGTTAAATTTGTTACACATGTTTAACACATGGATGACTGTGTTTTGCTATAATTTGAATCTTAGGTTTGGCCAGTGGTAGAAGAAGTATTCAGGTCCTTCAATGTAAAAAATTAAAGAAGTCATGTGGAGTTAGAGCATCAAAATAAAAGTGCTGGTTTGAACCCTCTGACTGATATATTCTTATATATTACATCATTAAATTATTGATAATGAAGCATCAGTGTGTCAGCAGCATGTTGCTGTTGTAGCTGCTGCAAGTGGAGCCAATTTGAACTACTTTACATGCAGTTTTACATGTGGCTGAGCAAATAATACATTTCAAACTGCAATTTGAAGCTATGCAATTAGCTGCATTTCTGAATGTACATCATGCGGCACTTCTGACTCAGTATTTAAGCTGCCGTGTCAAAGGATTTACAAATTCACGCATCCTGGTGTGACAGTCATGCTTTAGATTGTGTTTCGTGTTCATGCTCCATCACATGTTTTGAATCTATTCCACATGGAATATTTTACTCAAGCTTGATTTTAAAAAGTTATATTGCAAAGTAAATTGGAATTGCAGAATTTGTCAGAAAAAATGCAATTAGATATTTTCCCCAAAATCATTTAGCTCTGATTTATATACAGTGACATGAGATCAATCTGAGGGTTCGTCACATGATTTATGACAGAAGAAAGAAGAAAAAATAAGTTCTGATAAACAAATCAGTTTTTATCTTTCGGACTTTTCCTTCTTGATTTTGTTGAGAAATTGGATCATAGAAATTTTTACTGAAATGAAACCATTTGACAAGTTTGGAGGGAAAAATCCCTATATGGTGGAGGCCTTAACAACTCAGACATTTGAAACGTGACCTCAAATCCACACTGTTTTGTGTAGGATGATAAAGAAGTTGGAAATCACTGGTTTAATATTTAACAATCTGTTGTATTTTTAAAGCTTTTTAAAAAAATGTATGGTATTCTGTTATTTTAAAACTAACCAAAGATGTCAGATAAATGTAGTAGATTAGAAAGAACCATATTTTCCTTGGATTGTTGTGCAGTGGAAGCATAAAGCAGTTCAAAATGGAAAATACTGTTTCTGTAAACATAAATTGCAACTTTTTACTTTAACTTACTTGCTATTTACAATAGATGTTCATGTCTCCTTCAAATACTTTAGATAATCAGGATAAACAGTTGGTTTGTATACAGCGTGTTTGATCAACTGTTTCTTTGTCCATCTCACTGAACATTTGAAAAATCTCTACAATGATTAAAATTATCATAATTGATGGAACTGATGATCAAAACTTTTAAAAAGCAAAACTGTGATACTTGTTTACGAGATAATCAAAATGTGAATAAATAATGTGTGATCCCTGTTAACTTCCAGGACTTGCATCCATCTTGGTTCTAATAGTTGCTGTGATGTTGATGTTGACATACTATATCGATGAAGGCATCAGCGGACACCAGCTGGTCAGAGATTGTATTAAATGTAGATATTGTATTTATCACTAATCCATTGGAAACAAGCTCTCTAATAGACATTATCAGTTACAGATGAACTGCTTTATTTTATTTGTGTGGCCACAACTTGTGCATGAAGTATGAAGTCACCACATGCTGCCGAGTTACCCATCTTTGTTTACTTAGTGTCTGAGTGTTTGTGTAGTTTCTCCACGAATGTGTGTGTGTATGTTAGGATCTGTGTTTGCGGAAGTCGTGACCTCTCCTCCGTCTGGTTGCCAGGTCTGGAGGCCTTTCACAATGGGAGGATTATATCCAATATTAGCCCATTAATCTGGTCTACAGGAAGCTGCGTTATCCCACCAGCACCACACCCGCGAGTCAGGAAGTGTAGGAGCGCACACTCACAACAACACACACACACACACACACGCAGTGATCCAGCAGAGTGTCTGGTTGGGTTTTTCCCATCGTGTTTCCTGTGTCATCGCGGTATCAGATGAGCTTCTGCCCACTATTGTCACTGCTTGAGGTCAGAGCAGGAACAGAACGTTCAGGCAGCAGCACATTGTCTTCATACACATTCTGTAGGAGAGAGTGACCACATTCACAAAGGCGCTGCTGGACTAGAGAACTGCTCCACATGGGGACTGATTAACTCACTGAAACACATTCACAGCTGTGTAGGTGTAGATTTCAAAGAGGACGCAGCAGATACGTCCTTCTCAATATTTAGAACACGCGTGTTTGTCCCCCAAAATAAGACCATGAAAGAAGCAGAACACTTTTTTTGAAAAAACATTGCTAATAGACACAACAATGCCTCAGACAGACTAGAATGGAACAGAATAGAACTTTATTGATCCCTTTGGTGGAAACCTCAGGGAAATTGTTGTAAGAGTCTGAGACTGGTCTGTTCTCTTCAGCACTGAGTCTTATGCAACTGTCAAAATGTAAATTGTGAGCTCATACAATCACAAAACTGGTTGTGGAAAACTTTATTTAATCCATATGCATTCCATTATATTTTAAGCTGTCGCCTGCAGCTTTCATTTTGTGCTTTCTACTATAAATTGATGCAAAACAGACACAAATTGATTAGTAAAATTTCACCAAAATGCAAAAGAAATTTACACACATTTTAAATGCAATTAAAATGTAACATCATTAATCATTAATATAATTTGTCCCGGAAGGTACCTGTGAGATTATTTCTGATTGGCTGGCCGTTCCTCTTTAATGAGTTTAACTGGATGCTTCAGATGTTGTTGTGGCTGAAATGTGCACAAGGTATGTTTTACTGTTACTATGGCAACAACACATCAATGTGGTGCCATTAGCTGCAACAGGTGACATCATTTCTTACCATAAATTTCACCAAGTTTCGCACAAATTACCAAAAAAATACAGTATAGTTTTCTCTCATCTCTACTCATACATAATCTCACAGAGATACTTTTGGTTGTATTTGTCCAGATTCTGTGATTTCTGTCTCTGAGATTTCTGTTATCACTCTATAAAAAATAACTTCAGGTATTATAGAGAAACTTGTCCCTAGATAATCTACATTTCACACCATAGGCAGGGCTTTGTTATGGAAAGTAGTTCCAGTAAAAAAACAAATATCCAATGACACTGACTGTTCAGACCCAAACCGACACAACACAAGGGCACAAGACAATCCAACATGTGGTTTATCAAACTGCATATAACTGCCGCTTGTGTTGTGATGTACCAAACAGCTCTTAGTGGTAAGATAACTGGATGTAAACTTGAAAAACACTACTCCACTTTAATGCTGTCCTGCACTCTGAGGTGTAATATCATACTTTAGTGGGAAACTGTGCTATTTTCACCTTTGTTTAGGCCAGTATTTTGACATCTTTGCAAGTAGTTCCATCTCCTATATTTTATGGATTCTGCTTCCTCTCCAGAGGGGTCTTAATAATGAATAGAGGGATGGTCGTCATGAATCTGTCTCAAAGGCCATCAAAGTTTGAGTCAGCCATCTCCTGCAGCAGCATCTGTAGTTTTAGCCAGAAAAGGAAAAGAAAAACAGATGAGACCCCAAAGTGCTGAGATGCTGAGTGACTTACTGTAGGCTGAGCCTTGATTCGCTCTCAGGGAATATGTCTTGCATAAAGTGCTTTGACAAAATAGACTTTCAAGGTAAAGTTTTAAGAGCATGAAAGAATTATATTCTGGTTGACAGCAGTTATAATCTCTGAAATTGTTCAAAATGACTTCAGTCCTTTGTCTGATATGAGTTCTGTGTGTTCGTCTGTGAAAACAGCCAGTCTGTTGGATGTTTTCACATTACTGAACACACAGGCTGCAGATATTACAAGCAGACAGACAAAGTGAAAGAAGCGATGCATTAGTCAGGCTGATGGTCACAGCTGAAAGGACCGGACAGATGGACACAGACTACGACAGATTCTCTAAAGATGTGAGAAGAAAAACTAGTCATTTGTCTGAGCGCTGTGTGTGGCTGCTTCTCTTTGTCCTCAGTGTGTGTGTATGTATGTGTATTTGTGCATGTCTGTGTGCGCTGATGCATTCATTTTGCAGAGGTGCGTGCAGCATCAGTCTCACTCATCTTTTGCCTCCTCAGAAGTATATTTAGGTTCGGCTAGAGAGCGTTCTTGTGTTTATACAGGTGGTCTTAACCCCTGATCTTTGACCTCGGTTCAGATCAGCCATAAGCCTCCTGGAGGCTCACTAATATCATACTGAACCACCAACATCAATCTCACTGAGATGTGCTCCACTGTAGGTCCCATGTAATAGAAACTGTAGGAATTCAAGTGGTGCAGACCTGAAATGGAAGCTTTTGAAAATATATTACCATCATTAAAATGCCAGCTGTCAAGGATTCTGAGCATCTCCATTGGTGCAGCTGAGGGTGGAGGACTTGACAGTTGTTACTTAGAAACAACACAGTTTGTATCATTTGTAATCCTATCCAGACTGCTAAAAATATCCCAATAACAATCAATCTTGCTTGTAGAGAGAA